AGGTCTCCGCCCCCAAGGTCAGCCATCTGGACGCGGAGGGGGGAATTGAGTCTGTTGTACCAGACACCAGACCTTGAGAATATGCTGGTCTGGAATGGCTCTGTGCCTCACTTGAACCGTCCAATAGAAATGACTCTGTATTTCACCTCATTTGAATGACTCTCTACTTCGCCTCATTTGAATAACCCTGAGTAGCACCTCATTTACATTGACCAATGGGAATAGCTCTGTACTGTGCCTCATTTGAATTATCCAATAGAATCCCTGCTTCTCGCTTGCGCTTTTTGCTATATAAGGACCCCTCTCCCTTGGCTCGGCGCGCTTGGCCTCACAGAAGCTAAGTCGCCCCGGGTACCCGTGTCTCCAATAAAGCCTCTTGCTATTTGCATCCAAGTTCGTGGTCTCGATGATTCTTGGGTACGGGTCTCCTTCTACGAAAGTACCTCTTCGGGGGTCTTTCAATACCAGTATTAGCTTTGGAGCTCAACTTAGAAATGACCAGAGATTGTGCCATTTTGATACTACTCTTCATTTGAAATACTTGCAGTGATGAATTCTCATCAGGGAGATGATTGGACTGTCAAAAGTACAAGGTCTGGCCGGTCAGTAGTGGTGCATGCCTTTAATCCCAGCACTTGGGAGGTAGAGGCAGGCGGATCTCTGTGAGTTCGAGACCAGCCTGGTCTACAAGAGTTCGAGACTGGTCTACAAGAGGTAGTTCCAGGACAGCCTTCAAAGCCACAGAGAAACCCTGTCTCGAAAAACCAAGTAAATAAATAAATAAATAAATAAGTACAAGGTCTGTCTACAAAAAATGGCTAGGGTTGTGTTTGACCTGCTGGGGGCTCTTGAGGACCCAAAAAAAGCCTTAAGCTCCTTTTTCACCACAACTGAACACCTGCAGGCCAAGAAAATATAGTCTAGAAATTGACAAGGAAATGGCTGCCCTGACAGCCTTCCCTGGGTGGAGAGGAGTTGAAGGAAATGAAGACACAGAGGACTTTGGGAGCCATCTTCAAATGGCTAAATACAGGGAGCAGAGGTGAATGAGTACAGTGTTGTCTCAAGAGTAGAGCTGGAAAAAGAATGCCCTGGAGTGTGCTATGGAAGGGGCACTGGGAGGGGCTAAGTGAACCCCTTGGGGCTCTGGTTGCTTTGCTACAAAGTGAGTTGACTCTATCTGTACACATCGTATTTCCCAACAACATTCAATATCTCGGTACCTGAACATCCAATTTTACCCTCACACAAATGCCTGGAGTTTAGAGCAGACATCACAGGCTAAGGAGTTCAGTCCTGCAAGATTCCACTCACTTGCCAGGTGCAAGCTCTGGGTCCCCAGGCTACCAACACTTATGCCTGATTTGGCTGGGGTTCTCACCCTCTGCCTCAGCTCATGAGAATGGATCCTAGGGCTCAGGAAAGTGCTACACTTGTGCCTACAATTTTGTTATGAGGGACGTAACTGGGAACAACCATGTAGACCCAAATGGATGGGAGGTGAAGAACACAAAGCTTTTATTCATTGGAAGGTGTCTGAACCACACTTGGCAGGGTTGTATCTGGGGAATCGTTTTGTGGGGATGAGATACTGTATTGGTTACATGACAGGATTCAAAAGCCAGCAACCTCACTCTCTCCAGTGGTTGGGGAACAGGAACAAATACTCAAACCTTCTACTCAGGAGGCTTGTTCCTTGGGTGACCAGCCCCTCCTGAGCCTATCTAGTCCCCCAGTCTAATGGTTATCTCTGCATAGACTCTGGTAGGGGAGGGAGGGATCATCAGGGAAAAAGCCCCTCTTGTCATCTAGGAATTTCCAAGGCTTTTAGGAGCTCTGTGGCAGGAACCTGGGATAAAGAGTGAATCAGCTTTTATACCACAGACAGGTTCTAACAACCCTATCTCTAACATGCTGTGTCTAGTGGGTCCAAACATTATTACACAATGAGATTCATCTCTGGGTAAGAAGATAACACCTTAACCAGAGATGTTTAGGAGGCTGCTGCCAAGGGTTGGAGCTACCTGAGGTAGGAAGTGGCCTAACTGAAGCTGTTCAACCCCAGTCTCAGTGATACTGATAAGTAAATCTCTACACTGTAGTCAGTTTGCCACTAGTTGTAATTGTCCAGGGGCAATATAAAATCATTGCCTTTCTTGATTTCAGAATCGAGAGATGCTTCCGTTTTGGATGAACAGCACTGGCAAGCGGGAAGGCTGGCAGCGTGGATGGCATGGATATGACAATGAACTCATGGACATGAGAGGCATCTTCCTGGCCTTCGGACCTGGTAGGCAAGGAGATGACTGGACACTCGTAGGCAGCATTCCAAGGAAGCAGCTCTAATAGGGACTAACGACACTCTTTCATAGCTGGAGCAGTTTCTTTATGGACCCTCTTTATGAGCCAAGCTAAGCAAATCCAGCCGCTCTCCGTGAAACATCTTTGGCTGGCTTCCTTTCAGATGCTTCTTTGGTTTGGCAATTGTGGCCAAATACTTTTCCTTGTAAATTTTAAATCCTGAGTATAGTGCCGAAAATGTATTCCACATGTCTGTGATTCATTTTTTACTTAATTCATCAAGACATTTTTTTCACAACTATCTGATGTCCAGAAAAGCTTATCAAACTCCAGTTTGCTGACAGCTTCGGGTCTCAGGGTTGACACTATTGCTTCCTGGACTCTGACTCTTAAGTAGTCCTGCTTTGTCTAGAATATCCAGCCCTGTGGGGGTCCACTTAGAGTCTAGCTAGAAACTAGGATGTAATCCAGGACAGGCAGGCTCAGAAATGACCTTGAGATTAACTTTGAGAATGAGCCAGAATGACGAGAGATATTTGTATGACAGTAAAATTTGCTGATCTTTCCTTGATCAGATTATATTCCAAAGGTCTGGAAGAAAAGACAAATGAAGAGAGTCTCTTTGGTCATTGACTTAATTGATAGGGCATTATGAATCTGCACACTGGAAAAATTTACCGAGTAGTCTAACAAGCAGTTTGCTAGAAACATGTCATGAAAGAAAGACATCAAGGGGTGAGTGAGAAGGGAGTAGTCACTCCAACAGCTATGAAGCATCAGGCGACCCCCTCACAGCTAACCTTTCCACTTCTGTCTACTCCTTTATTAATTATTCTCCCCTGACATCTGTATTCCTAAGGCATATTTCTGCATGTTGATAAACTCAAGGATGTCCGCTCTTTCATTTCCAATTGCGTGTGACCTCTGCTCTGCTCATCTGAGTATTGAGACCAGCCATGTTAATTCTCTCTTCTTATTTTGTCTGTCTCCATTTACTTCACTTACCACAAAAGAGCTGTTAAGATCCTAAGCTTGGAAAAACCATTGGTGACCCCCATATGACCCCACATATGATTCTCAAATCCCAAAGTCAGTATCGGAATCAGTGACAGCAAACATTTATAGAGCTCTGGCTGAATTCCCATCACAGGTCCAGGAGACCAGAGGATGTCTGAGTACATTGCCATTGGCCAATGAAAGCTAGGGAAGCTCCCTGTTGACCAAGCCCAGGACTTGTGGAGCCTCAGTGCAGGAGGAATTAAGAATGGGGCTTTTGAAACTATGTTGAGGTCTGTTGTAGATCAGAAAAAAGACGTTCCAAGGTCATGGATTTCATTTGGGAGAATGTCAGTCAGTCATCAGGATATTCAGTCAAAAGTATCAGCGCTTTTTTCCCCCAGAAAACGGAAGGAAGGTCAAGAATGCTGAACAGTTGTCTGTTGGACTGTATATGAGCAGCAAGTCTCATGTGTGTTTTAAAGCACAAGCCGATCTAGCCCCACATGAAAAGTTCTAAATGAAATACCCAGCACTAAGCTAACTTGGAGTTAAATTCACCAGGGATGTTTTGTCCATTAATAGAAGGCTCTGTCATCAGCTCCTTTCAAATGGAAAGCCCCCAGTATTTTACAGACAGAAAGACATCCCCTGATGAAAATGGACTGGCTAATTGCAAAATGTTTCCTTGAGAGCCTCTCACAAACCGTCGCATTCCTGCTCCAATTCTCATGAAAGATTAAATAGCTTTACACGCTGACTGTTTACTCAGAAGAAAATTTAAGAGCCAGCCCCTTAATAGCTATCTAGCTGCACTTGCAGATAAAGGTGCATACCTACTGATTGATTGAGCTTCTTGCTTAGGGAGGAAGCTGGGCATTATTGCAGCTGCCCAGATACCAACCTTCTAAGCCACTAAGTCTGGCCCAGAGAGAAAGGAAAACAACCACCGTTCTGTAGTTAAGGCCGGTTTCTAATTTCAACCACCTGGTTTTGTCCTGGAGAACCCTGTATTCAGGATGACATGGCAGGAGCAGGAATCAATGAGTGATGAGTGGTCACAAGCCAGCAAGCCTGTTTCAGTGCTACAGCCGAAGGTGGCTGGGCACAGCATGAGCCTACAAGGCCTTCTCTTATCAGTAGATGAATTTTAATACCCAAATGTAATGCCCATGTTTAAGCTTGTAGGGGTTACTTAGATCCAAATCTAGGTTCAAAATGTTATCTTGAGCTAGTGGAATTTGTTGGAAGCCTTCTAAATCAGACTAGGTGTTGTTCATCTACCGGGGAGTTTTCTAAAAGTTTGCATGTCTTTGGCTTGAGCTCAAAATTCCATGCCTTTAGAACAGAAAGCCATGAAATACATCAGAGAGAGATCTGTATTCTCCTTCTGAACAGGCATAGGCATTGAACACAATTTTGCATTTTCAGTCATATTTCAAATATGATCATCATCTCTAAGATTTTTGTCAGAATTTCATCTCCACTGTTTTTTCTGTCTTTGAAACATGGATTTTTGAAAGGTCAGAGGACACTTTGCCACTCCCCTACTCCAGCTGATGATTTGGCTTCATGTGATAAGCAGTGTGACACTCACATCCAGGTCACATGGCAAGTCCTCAGGAGAGGACTTTCATAATTATGCTTTCATAATCTTTGGACAGTCTTTCCATTGATCTCTTAGGTTGTGGTGGGTTCATGTGAGGGCACTGTGTCACCACCACCCCCATCCAGTTACATACTTTGCCTTGACATTGAGAAAGGCCTCTTTTGTATTTTCCTGTGCAGCTATGATCTCATTTTTTAAAACTAGTTTTTACTTTAAAGCAATTCAGATCCTTATTCTCCCTTCTTCACAAGAAAATAAACCCTCCAAGCCATTTATAAGGTGAATATTTTTAACCCCAATTTTTTCCTTGCTGCCACTTAGTATACTTATTTATTGATAATAATGGCTGTTGTGTCTGGCATTGTGATTTAGGTGCCATTTCCCACACCCTGTAGAGTGCCGGTGTCTCTTCACACCAAATTCACTCTTTAATTCTCCAAAATTAGTAAAATCCATTTCTTAAAAGGTTTCTCTAGATCTCATATGCTTGCCAGGGGATTTTGTCTATAATCTCCTCCCATAATTATAATTCCAGGGATAGAATTGGTATCAGTACTGTACTTCCCAGAAGATATTTCTGAGACGTTGTTTGTGTCTTTTAAAATTAAGTATCTGATCATTTTTAGCAGAACACATGAAATGATTCTTTTCTGAGATAGAAAGACCCAGTTGGCACCTCTCAAGTCCCCTGTATCTCCTTTGAAAATCTAAGACGAACATTAAAAACACAGGCCTCTGTTGATGGATCAAAACTCAACTCTAAACTCAGTCTTAACGTAGCTTAGGCTATTTTGTTAGATATATTGTTTTGGGCCCAAAAGCAAAGTTGCTTGTTATTGTATTCAGAGTGTCACTGTCTAAGGCAGTGCTTCTCAACCTATGGGTCGTGACCCCTTTGGGAGTCTAATGACCCTTTCATGGGGATCTGTTCTCCTAAGACCATAGGAAAACACAGATAGTTACATTACAATTCATAGCAGCAGCAAAGTTACAGTAATAAAGTAGCAATGAGAATAATTTTATGGTCGGGGGTCACCACAACATGAAGAACTATATTAAAGGGTCATAGCACGAGGAAGGTGGAGAACCAGGGGTCTAAAGGAAAAGGGCTCCCTATTCATCGTCTGTCCCACAGGGACGTAACAGGCACACGGGTCCTATTGTTTTAGAGGGCTACCTGGATAATAATGCTGTGCATGACCAGCCCCTGCTTTACACACCTATGCTTAATGCCCTCTGCTGGCACAGGATTTGGGTAGAGGCACAAGGTCACTTAAAGTCTTCTTGAAATCTCAACTCCAATACGTTTTCTCATTTTCCCTATGGCCACAAGCAATGTTCAGTTAATTCTCTAAAAATACTGAGAACAACACTGCCATTGCTGGTGAGCTATCCGTCTCCAGGAGATGATACAGCTTCATGGGCCATATACAACTGTGGCTTTGGGATGACAGGAAGAGAGAGACATTCTTGAGTTGTTACAGGTACTTTGGAAAGCACCCAAGGTATCAGCTCTGGTTAGCGAGAAGTTCTAGAAGATATCCAGGACGTTTTCAAAGAGCAAAATAGTTTATCTTTTTGACCACCCTGGTTCCCCAGTGCTCTAAACAAAAGGAACAGCTTAGTGGGTCTGTTGGCCTCTGCCGGAATGCTACATTGTAACAGAAGCATAAGAAGCTTATGCATAAAGAAGTCTGTCTGCTAACTTGTCTTTTGGAGACTCTCATCTCTGTATTCCATGGAAGATACACATGGACTTTTTTATTAATTATGAAAGTTCAGTCTTAGCTTAGGCTTGTCCCACTAGCTTGTATAGCTTAAACTAACCCATATGTTTTTTATTAATTTATGTTCTACCACATGGCTTTTGCCACTCTCCCAGTCTGTGTGTCCATCTTATTCTGCATCTCGATGGCATCTCCTGCTTTCCTTGACTCTTCCTCCCCTTTCCTCTCCCCAGAAATCCCACCTAGCTTCCCTGCCTAGCTATTGGCCATTTAGCTCTTTATTAAACCAGTCAGAAGGCACCTTAGGCAGAGGCACATCTTTACAGTGTAAACAAATATTCCACAATAGAATGTTTGTTCCTTCACTGCCTATAACTGCCCACATATGCTTCCTCATTTATAATCACTTGGCCACAGGCATTGACAGAGCTGATTTTCCCTGGGCCTGAGCAGAATTTCTCCATCTTTAAGACAACCTTCCTTTTCTGAGTGACCAATCATGACCATCTCCCTGTCTGTTTTTGCCTTTTAGATTTCAAGTCCAACTTCAGAGCTGCTCCAATTAGATCCGTGGACGTCTACAACATTATGTGCAATGTAGCAGGCATCACCCCACTGCCCAACAATGGGTCCTGGTCCAGGGTGGAATGCATGCTGAAGGGTCAGACCAGCTCAGCTCCATCTGTCCCGCTGAACTGCTATGCACTGGCCTTGATTCTCCTCTTATACTTTGCCTAGCTTGTCATATTGCTCATTCCAAAACACTGTTCCCATATGGCCAACCTCCAACATGGGGCAGTTTTCATTTTCTTTATGAATAATAGCTTTATTAACACAATCAAGGTCGTTAAATTTGTAAATATATTATTCTTGAATATATACACAAAGTCCCTTCTTTTAAAAAAGAGAAATTCTTAAACTGTTTTACCTAAAAATTTGACATTTTTATCTTTTCATTCCCGTCACTACATAGTTTTCTCCTTTCTTCGCACATCTTTGATGAAGATGAACAGTGTGAGCAGTAGTCTGCCCCAGCATCAGTCAAACATTAAATGGATATCCTATAGTCATCCTGGGTCCCTCTCATCCTGCCTTGCCCTGTCAATTAGGCCCTCTGTGTCCTGTCTACATTCAAGGGCTCATACTTGGGATCTGCAGCCACAATTCTTCAGTCTATTCTGTTCCAGAAAGAGGGGGTCTAGCTACAGGAAAGCAACATGTGCCATCTGTTTCTGTCCTGGTGCATGGCGTGTTTCATGACACAGTCTCAGAAAGCACACAGGCCAGTAGAGATCACCAGTCAAACAATTAAAGGATCAAAAACAACTAGACAACTCATAGAACTGGCGGAAACCATGATTTCCTCTCTCAAAATCTGAGCACGCAATAGCTTCATCAATTTCATCGAAGGGTTCTATGAGACTTAATACACAATCTCTCATGGTATAAAGCCTTGTGAACCACAGGCCCTGAACACTGATGCATTCCGATCATCTGCCTACCTGATTCAGCTGCCTATGACCACTTACTTCCCTCAGACACTGCCACTCTTTAGCTCTTGAGTCAGGTCACAAAGCAGGTGAATACTGGCTATGTCAGTATAGGCTTAGAAAGGAAGAGATGTCTCAGTGATAATAAGAACATTAGAAATCTTAACCCAGCTGGGCAGTGATAACGCACACCTTTAATCCCAGCACTCCAGAGGCAGAGGCGGGTGAATCTCTGTGAGTTCCAGGCCAGCCTGGTCTCCATAGTGAACTCCAGGACATCCAGGACTACACAGTGAAACCCTGTCTCAAAAAGAAAAGAAAAGAAATCTTAACTCATTCCTAAGAATAGTGACATATCAAACACAAGTTTCATATTTCAGGAGTCCAGAAGAGGACTATAAAAAGAGCTGATTATATTTTTTTATGGTGAGGGAGCAAGACACATTCAACAGAATGCATTTTGAATTTTGAACTTGAACATTTTCTCAGTCTAGTATTATGCAGTGTGGCACCGTCTCACGAGGCTGGCCAGATGCAGCAGCAAGCCACAGCACCCAACCAGCCACAGGATCCTGGGTGGAAACACACAATATCCTAGAGCACCATGTGTTGCTAAACTGTGAAGATCTGTAGGGTGGTGTATTAAATTCGTTTTGACTAAATAATATTTCTAATTTATGACAGGTTTATTAGGAGCGACCCCATCATAAATTGAGGAGATTATTAATCTTGTTGCTTTGTATTCAAAATGAGTTGGCACTAAATGAGTCACTAAAAGTAACACTGTGTTAGGGAAAGACAAAACATCAGATCTCAGAGGGAGGAAGCCTTTGTTTGGTGTTTGGCTTAGAAAAAGAAAAGGACTCCCCCACAGCACCCAGGTTTGGTAAAGATGGAGTTGCTACAGTGCCTTGAATCAAGAGAGCAAAAGATCACTGCTTGAAAATGTCGTGTTTATCCTCACAAAAGATTTCTAAGGATTTATGTAATGTGTTTTTAAAGCTCCAACAAACCATGGAATCAACTGGAAAGGAGGGGAATCAGCTTTTGTTGTGTGGTTGAAAGCAAATTAGTACTTTCAGAACACTGATAGGAGCTGTGGAAACAGACATCTATTGTTCAAAGTTTTCTTTTCCCCTAAAGAATGGTGTTTTGTTGAATTCCAGGAAGCTGGCTTGACTGCCTTTACAGAAGAAGGGTTTCTGAGAGACATTCAAGTGATTAAATTAAAAGTGAATCATTAAAATCAAGAGGGGATAATAAGAGTGTACACAATATGGCCTTTTTCTTTCTTCGTCTATTCTGTCCTCTCCTTCACTCATCCTTAAAAACCCTTAAGTTATATAACAAAATTTCAGAGCTCTGTCTCATAAAGTATAATTTCTACATAAGAAATGTTGAATGAAAGAATGAGAATAAGTAGAGGTCAGTAATAAACTAATGCATATATTCTGATGACAATAATTAGTTGGCAGAATTTTACCTCCTTTTAGTTTTGCCTTGAAACCTAATTATCTTCCCCAGTTAAAATCTCCCACCCACTATTAACCCTGTCTAGCCTCAGAGATGAGATACAGTATGTTCATGGTGCTATGGCTGTAGACTTTGCTTTTTCTAAATGTGATGTGTTCTGTAAAAGTAAAATGTTCTGGGAATATGCACACACATCACTCCTCCTGAACTTTTCTGAGACTTTAGAGCTAATCCCAGGAGGGAGATAACCAAGTAGACCTACCACTGAGAAATGAAAGGGATGTTCTTCAAATTAAAGATGAGACTAAGGGCTACTTTCTCTGCCCATGTGCCTCATCTCCAGAATCCAATTTAATTAAGTTCTAAAGACCTAACCATAAACTACAATAGGTCCAGGGAATTCTCCCAAGCCTAGAAGAGTCTTAAATTATAAAGGCACAATTCTCTACACTTTTAAAGAGACTCTGGAAATCCATATTGGCTCTGAGTTCAGCCACAGAGAGCACCTAACAAACTCTTCCACAGTTGCAGGGATAGGGCCTCAGACAACTCTTGTAAGTCGTAATAATGAAAGTTTGGGTTCACTCCAAGGAAACATGGGTTTGGATTCAATCCTTGGGATATCTGAATCCCCAGAGAGCTGTTTCATAATTAGCCAGTTTCTCCAGGGATCATCAGCTGACATTGGCCACTGACCAACCCCATTTGGGTCAAGCTTCCATCCTTCCAAAACTAAGGGGGTGGTCAGGTCTGAAAGTTCTTGAGGAGGAAAGAGCAATAGCAAAGTCAGCTGCTGCACACCCTTCCTTGTGGTTCTAGGAATCCCAACGGTGCTATCAAACCAACTTGGACATTGTTCAAGACACACAGATCTTTTGTGGAATTTTCTGTTTTGAGTTTGTGTAACTGTCAAGAGATTTCCAAGTGTGATTTGCATTTTACCTTTTTAAGCAACTTGTGATGGACCAAAGTCAGCTACTATAAATTATTTGCTATATTAAGGAGGGCATAAGCAATGCCCACTGGTTATTAAGCATTTGAAACTTGATGTGGAGTTTACACTAAGGAGAATATGTGTGGCTTGGAAATCATAAAATAGTACCTAGTACAATATCTTAAATGTTTACATTTTGAATGAAACAAAAAGAATAAATATCAACAGGAAAATTTAAACTCCTGATATTCTCTCTTTCTTGTCTGTGGTTGCTCCAATTAAGTGAATTTTGCACATTTGGCTCACTGTTTTTTCTTATTTCCCAGTTGACAATGTCATTACACTATAATTCATGGACTAAATGTATTCTATCACAGGTTTATAATTTAGATGGGAGGAAGAAACAAAATGAGGGTGGGAATGTGTCTTAGGGGTTTTATTGATGTGAGAGAAACCGTGACCACAGAAACTATTACAAAAAAAAAAAAAAAACATTTAATTGAGAGGGCTTGCTTACAGTTTCAGAGGTTCCATGGTCGGGTGCTTGGCATCGGGCAGGCAGACATGGTGATGGAAGCGAGAGTGCTACATCTTGCAGGCAACAGGAAGTCAACTGATTGTCACACTGAGTGAAGCTTGAGGAAAAGACTTCAAAGTCCACCCCCACAGTGACACACTTCCTCCAACAAGGCCACACCTCCTAATAGTGCCACTCCCTTTGGGGGGCATTTTATTTCAAACTATCACAGAAGGGAAGGAGAGAAGAGGGTAGGAGATTGAATTTAAAATGCATTCAGCATATCAATTTTCCTTTCAAAATGTAGTATTTTATTAATTCTTTGAGAGTTTCATATATGCATACAATGTACCTTAATCCTAACCACCACCTACTCTGACTCAATTCCTCCAAATTTACCCTTATATGCCCTACCTCTTCAAACTTCATCATCTCTTTTTTCTTTTTCATTTTTTTAAACCCATTGAGTCCAATTGTGCTGCCCATATACTCACAGGTGTGGTTGATCTATCACCAGGTGTCATTCCTTTGAAGAAAAATGACTCTCCTGCCCCTAGAAGCCAAGCTCCTTGGCAGGGAGTGGGGACTTGTGAGCCCTCTCCTTTCCACAGAATACTAACTTTTAATGATATAGTATCTTTATCGAGACTGAATTCACTTACTGCACCACTCACCTGTTTGAAGTGCATAATTAATTCTGTAGCTTTTCAGGTACTCACAAAGTTATGTGACAAGTTTTGTCTCCATAGCTCCATACCCATTAGTGGTTAGCATCCATTCTCTACCCATTTCCTGTTTTAGTTAAGGCTTTTATTGTTACAAAACACCTTGAGAAAAAGTAATGTGAAGAGGAAAGGGTTTATTTATTTTTATACTTTCAGCTAATAGCCCAACACGGAGGAAGTAGAGCTAGAACACAAGGCAGGAACCTGGAAACAGAAACTAAAGCATAAGGGGGGGGGGGCAATGCTGCTTTTGGATTGCTCACCCTACTTTCTTACACATCACAGAACCACCTGTCCAGGGGTGGGAACATTACAGTGGGCAATGGCAACATCACTCATTAATCAAGAAAATGCCCAACAGACTTCCTACAGGCCAATTAAGGCATTTTCTCAATTGAAATTCTTCTTCCAAAATGACTTTGTCTTGAGTCAAGCTGGCACAAAACCAACCTACATACTGTCAAACACTAAACTAATTTCTGTGTCAACAGCTTTGTCAATTTTGGATATTTAATAAACAGACTTTGTGGATAGCTTCTTTCACTAAACATAATGTTTTAAAGATTGTGGGTTGAATCCATACTTCATTCATTTATAAGTAACATCCGGTTGTGTGGGTAGGTACAATTTTATCTATTTATGTATCCACTGATCAGCATGTTATTTTTTTCCTCACTGTTTAGACATAAGCAACACTGCTCTGAATATTCATATATATGTTTTGTATTCGCATATTTTCAGTACCTCAGGAATATACCTAATGTTACAAACTTGTGAGGAACTGCCATATTGTTTTCTGAATTGACTTCTCTGTTTCACATTCCTACCAATCATGTATGGCTTTCTCTGCACCCTAGCTGGCACTTTTAATTACCAATCCTTTGGGATTATAGACATCCAAATGAGTGCTACATCTCACTGTGCTTATATTTGTGCCTCCGAAATGATGCAACATAGTATTTTTGTGTGCCCATTAGAAAAATGTCTACTCAAATCTTGTGTTCATTTTTCCATTGAATTATCTCTTTTGTATTATGTTGTAAGTATAACTAATTTCCTATCAGATATTGTTTATAAGCCCTTGTTTTTATATTTTTGGTGTATGAAACCCATCTCTATCCAACTGTACCATTCAAATGTACCCAATACTTCCCAGAGCACCCTTACAGTTTCATAAAAACAAAACAAAATGACAATCAGTAAGCCCTACAGGTGTCTTGTCCCCAACACTCCCAAGGGCTTTCCTTTACAATCATGCAATGGCCTCTTTTCACTTTTCCCAAGGACCTTCCATCAAGAGGCTTTCTAAAATGCAACTGAGACCAGACCATTGCCCTGCTCTTACTCCTCAGTGGCTTCCCACTGTTTTAAGTCAATGCTTTTAGTGTGGTTTATCTGTGTGGCCTGGATCTGCCTGCCTGCTTGATCAGTGAGTGTGCATGAAATTCACTTGATTTTTATTGCACTTTCCACTCTCTTTAATCTACCCTTCCATCTTACCCCTACCCCACTTTATAAAGCCTTGGACTCTATTTGAATGTAATCTCCAACATTGTCATATAGCCTGTAGTAACCCGTCTTTTCAGGGCTTCAGTCGGATCCAGCTGACTTGCCCAGTCCATACCTGAGAGGGGGAGTATGGATTGAGAAATAGCAGGAAAAGATACTAAGAAAGAGACAGAGACACAGAATAGAGTCAGGAGGGCAATCCAGTGAATACTGAATGCCCCAAGTTTATTCTTCAACATTCTTAAATGCCCCATTCAAAAAGGCAAAAGACTTCTTTATCAAGATACAAAGAAGAAACAGACTTTCTTCCTTGATTCTCCAAACATTTGGTAACCACGCCTTAAACTAAATTTCTCCTTATCTGGCCTTAAGGGTTAAGAGTAACCACACCTCAGAGCAAGGCTCTTGTTATTTAAATAAGACATCTAGGACCAAGACCACATCCTACAGAAGCCACACCTTAGAACTTTATTTAGGTCTTAATGATTTTAACCTGCTGTTGATAAATTGAAAGCATAAATCATTGATTTGTTCAGAGAAGAGTCTGTGGTGGCTTTCTTATCTCTCCATATCAGCCTCTCCGACAGTGACAGGCATGTCCTAGGTCATCAAACTCTGGGAGAATGGATGCATACAGTTTCTAGAAAAGAGATCTATCTGCAGCTGTGTAACTTGAGTGGGCACTGGTCCAGCTGGCTCTACGTGGCACAAGTCCCCCCAGAAGAGATTTGAACTGGTAGAAAAACAATAGCAAAATCCCCCACCCTTCACTGGCGGATGGACTATCTTCCCCAAAAGATACCTTATCCTCAATAGGATACCTCTGAAATGTGAGTTAATTTGGAACTAAGGTTTTGCAGATGTTATCAATTTAGTTAGCCATCTTGGTTTAGGGTGGCCTAATTCAATGACAGGTATACTTCTACAGAGAGGTAAATTGGTGTTCAGAGATAAAGTGCTTAGTTGGTAACAGAGACAGAGACTAGATGCAGCTGTAAGGCACAGCTGGCCACAGATTACCAGCAAACTCAGAAGTTAGTTAGGAAACAGGAAGGGAGGATTCTGCAGTAGACCTTTCAGGGGGTCGTGGTTCTTCTACCATCTTGACTTCAGATTTCTGGCATCCAGATCTGTGAGAATGCATTCCCACTGTCCTAAGCACTCCCGTTTGTAAGGTAGTTTGTCACTGCAGCTGGAGGAAATTAACATGACTTTCAAATTGCCTCAGGTCAAACCAGCTCATCATTTTCCTCAGCCCCGTCCTTCCTCTAAGACACTGGGATGTGTTCTGGGGCTAGAGGCACGGAAACATCTGGGTATTGTTTTCAATGAACTTATACCACAGCCATTGCATTCTTCCATGCTTGGGCAGAATGAATTCTAGATTTCGTGGTACTAACCACCCTGGTTGCTAAGAGAAATGAAGAGAAACTCGAAGCAAACAAAAGGGACACAGTAGGACACACCAGCACAAGGTCTAAAGGCTGGAAGCCGGAAGCCCAGCTAGTGGATTTAGGTGGCGTGTGTCTGCTACTTCCTTTGGTATCTAACTCTTGCCATTTTCTGTGCACCTGGTTGACTTTTCACCTTGCCTAGATAATTCCCTCTGTAAAACAAAGGTGACTGTACAGCTTGCATTCTTAAACAGCACGCTTGCCTTTCTCACTCCTACAGAATTAAAATACAAATTTCACCTCCATAAATTTCCACAATTTATCTTCTCCCTACAGGTCTTCAAGTTCCAACCTAATTCTGCAGTTGATCCTTGGGTGTGCCATTCTCAACTCTCTTGCTCTGTCCTTAGGTTAGGCTCTGGGTGTTTCTTCTTGCTCTGTTTAGCAAATTCTTTCTCTTTCTTCAAATCCTTGATTCAAGGAGTGGAGAATATAGCTCAGTGGTAGAGAGCTTGCTTACTATGCAGAAGGCTCTGGGTTCAATTCCCACCACAGCATAAGCAGAAAAGAAAGTGAAATTCTAGATTCCTGAGTCCCTTATGCTTTTATATTCTTTTTATTGTTGTGTTTATTACAAAGCAAGCCGCACTGTCTTATAATCATTGGTTTTCCCAAACTAGGCTGTAAGCTACAAAGAATGATGACATAGAGTCTTTTCATGTTGGGGTTGGTTTCTCCTCAGCACTCAGCAAAAGTCTGCCACAAAATAGTTGGCAACTTCCATGGAACTTTGAAGAAGAATGTTGGTTAGCAGAGGCCAAGGCACGGATTGAGTGGGCCAAGTCTAGTCAATATGTGCTAAAGATAGGCAGGAGTAAGATGCTGGTGTGCTAGCACATAGTAGGGTAACACAGAGAGCTGTACTGTACTGAGAACATCATGAAGCATAAAGAAAGAATTTTGAAGTAGAAGCAGACACCCGCAGCTAAACCTTGAACTGAACTGGAATCCAGATGCAGAGAAGCAGGATGATGAGCAAAGGGGTCCAGACCAGGCTGGTGAAACCCACAGAAACAGGTGACCTGAACAAGGGA